CTAAATGGGAGTAATGTCATAAATTGATACTATAATAATACTTTATTTTTTTAAGTTGAGAATTATANTACCGACATGGGTGTAATGTCCTACTTTGGTACTATAATAATACTTTATTTTTTTAAGTTGGGTATAATTTTCCAAAAAAAAAAATTGATGGGGTTTCCAGAAAATCAACTAATCAACTTTCTCCAACTTGTTATGCATTCGTGGTACATATCTCATCATCGGATATTCTTAAGTTCTGAATCTCGTCTAATGGAATCTAGCAACAAGTGAACTGCAGGCACGCACGCGAAATGGTGTTTGTACTTGTGGAAATGTAAATTCGGATTTTGCTACTTGTATATAAAAAATTTACGTAATGGATTACATAATATGATGTGGAGGGAAAAAATTGGATGAAAATTTTGATTGTGTTTTTAACTGGTAAATGGTACAGTATCATTGTTCGGTTGCACCAAATAGAAATATAAAAATATTTAATTCAAAGTAAGCAATATTTTAAGGAGGGAGATATTCTTCACAGAGTAATTCTTGAAAGTATCAAACATCTCATAGTAACAATCTTGTTAGTTAGAAAGAATTTATGCACAAAGTGATTCCACCTAATAATTTGACAAACTAAAAAGAAGTTCCAATATTCCGCAGGTTTGAATGTCTCCCTCAAGCTATGTTATTCTCGGTTGAAGATGATCAGGCTTCATATTCTCACTTTTATTAGTCTAGTAAATTACAATTTCACTTTAAATTTGAATTTTCGTATTGAGTAATGTTATTTAGCGTGTTCGAGTTACAACTCCAGTTCATGTAACATTAAACGATAGACGCAATTAAATAAGTAATTTAATTACACATTTCATTCAACTGATCATCTAAAGCCACATAGATTGAGTTTGTAATCTCAGTGGGGCTACGTAGCATTACTTTTCCATATTAGTGTTCTTTTTATGGTATAAAATGAAATTTTATTTTTATTAAGTGAATTTTTGATTTTCCCCTAAAAATTAAATGTACTCTCAGGCCAACTTCCCACTATTAGGGTGCCGTGAAATGAGGGGTAACTATTTTATCGAAATTTTTATTTGATGTTTATGTTGTTTATTTACAATAGATGGGCTTTGTATACCTACCTAATGAATTTTTTTGAACGAAAATCATCATCATAGACAAGATGTACTGATTAATTGTAGGTAAGAATAAAAATGCGACGAAAAAAGTTAAAATATAAGTATAACAATGAGCAAAAATTGAAATAGTTCGTTTGCAAATAAAATGTATTGGACTTTTGTATAATTACCCTATAAAATAAAGGGTAAATTAAAATTACCATCCCCAACCTTAACAACCATTTGCAGTCTCATCCTCGTTCTTTTTTCTTTCTTTTTTTCTTCTCATTTTTCTTATTGCGACATACAAATCGTCATAATGTGATTAATTGGCAGATATTGTCCTCATGAAAGGTTTCTATCCATTTAACCTGTTAATTAAGTCATGTGACCTACATTCCTATTCAATAGATAGGACAAAAAGGTCTACACAATATGCATTCATTCTTAATTATTTCAATAAAACTATTTGTACAAAGTTGGGTTACAAAATGTGTTGGCAAAATTCACACCGTTGATTTCTAATGATTTAAAAATCTATTTTTAAAATGATTGATATAAATTTTATTTTGTCAATAGACTTTGTAACTCAACTTTGTACATGTAGCATAACTCTTAATTATTAGACGATTTGTTTTGGATCAAAACACATTCCAAAACCTTCGAGCAATATTTCAACTACCATTTTGACCTAGAAATTTTCTTAGACGAACTTAGAAGTTTGCGTCGTCTACTTCTATTTTGAGGAAAGATGGCTCATTGGCTCCACATTGCAGTATTTTTGTGTGTTTTGTTGTTCAAAAATCTGTTCTTTTCTGTTTCAATTTTTAGTTTTGAATTTTGAATTAATTTTTTATTTTATGTTTTGAGTGTCCATTTTGAAATTGTTGAAAAAGCGTTCTTTTTGTCATTTTGAAAAATTATTTTCAAAAATAAAAAAAATGAAGTTTTGACTTGATTTTAACTCAAACAGCCAAAATGACTTTTTTGGCATTTTTAGTTTTCTTCGTAAATTTTAAACTCGTTTTTGGAAATTCATTTTCGAAAATAGGTAAAGAAACACATTTTCAGTGTTTTTAAAAACTGAAAATAGCTTAAAAACAACACAGAAAACGGAATACAAGCACGAATAATGCTATGTGTACACAATTT